GGGGGGGGGGCTTTAGAGACCATCGAGATGATCCTCCTCCTTGCCTCCCTCCCTTCCCTCTTTTTTTCCATCTTCTCCTGTCTCTTTCCTTCCTTCCTTCCTTTCTTCCTTCCTTCCTCCATCCATCCCTCCTCCACTCCTTCCTTTCTACTAATCTCCTTCCTTCCATCCATTCTTATTTCTTCCTTTCCTTCCTCCCACCCTTCCTGTTCTCCATCTTCTCCTCTCCTTTCTTTTCTTTCCTTCCTTCATTCCTCCTTCCTTTCCTCCCTTTCTTCTCTTTTCTTCCTTCCTTCCTTCCTCTGTCCATCTCTCCTTCCTTCCTTCCTTGCATCCGTCCTTCTTCCTTCCTCCCTTCCTGTTCTCCATCTTTCCTTCCTTCCTTCCTTCCTTCCTTCCTTCCTTCCTTCCTTCCTTCCTTCCTTCCTTCCTTCCTTCCTGAGAGTAGCCAGTCCAGGTAGCAACAGGAAGAAAAGCTTATTCTAAGGTAGACTGCTGCTGGCCATAGAGGCACCATTAAACCCCCCCCCCCCAAATCCTTCCAAGGCCTGAATCCATAAACAGCCGGAGTGCTTCCCCCCCCCCTCACCCCGCAAACCCCGCTTTCCTTCCCAGGCCCACGCGCTGGAGGCCGACATGGAATTGGAGTTCCTGGAGACAGCCTGCGCTTGTAAGGCAGTCATCTGTTGCCGCGTGACGCCCTTGCAGAAGGCCCAAGTGGTGGAGCTGGTCAAGAAGTACAAGAAGGCCGTGACGCTGGCCATCGGGGACGGGGCGAACGACGTCAGCATGATCAAAAGTGAGTCTTCCAGGCGCAAAACCTGGGAGGGAAATGGCCGCTCGGACCAGGAGGGGTGGATTCTGGGAAACGAAGTCCCTGCGTTGCGAGGGGGCGGGGCTATCTCAGACTCCTCCGCTGTCGATTCATCAAACGTTCCTAGGCCTGTTTTAGTAGCCGCCATAAAAAGGAGAGGAAAGCGGAAGTAACATTCCAACTCTTCTCTTGAAAAGGTTGTAACTAAACTACCGGAGCTTTCGCCCGCGAATATATTTTATTGGAGAATCTGATTGATGACACACCCAGGAGGAGGGAGGGGGGAACGGGGTCACAGGGGACTGTCAATGACGTAGGCCAGAGTTGGCTTCATCCAGGGCGGCAGTGCCAGGATGTCGCCTCTAAATGAATCCGTGGAAGTTTTTTGAAGTTTGGCTCGAGGATCCCGATTCAATTAGGGCGATTGCTGGAATCCTGACACCTGCCTTATCTGCAAATGCCAGGGGAATTCTGGGGGATCGAAGTCCTCCGGGTGGGAGAGGCCGTTCCCAGAGTTCTCAGACTTTCCCATGAGGACTGGGGAATTCTGGGAAAGTTGGGAGAGACTGTCTTGTCCACGAGGACTGGGGGATTCTGGGAATTTGGGAGTCCCCGGGTCGGAAGGGGAGTGTCCCAGAATTCTCAACCTTGTCCACCATGGAGACTGAGGGAATTCTGGGGAATAAAAGTCCCCAGATTGGGAGGGGCCTAAAATCCTCAGCTTGTCCACAAGGACTGGGGAATTCTGGGAAGGAAGGACGTCCTCCCAATCAGGAGACGGCTTGCCAGAATTTTCAGTCTTGTCCACAAAGATTGGAGGATTCTGGGAATTGAAGTCCTCAGGTGGGGAGGGGCCACCCCCGAAGGCTCCGCCTCGTGCATAACAAGGACTGAGGAATCCTGGGAGTTGAAGTCCCCAGATCGCATCCCCAGAATCCTCAGGACTGTGGGACCCTGGGAACGGTAGTTTCCCGGCGTTGAAGACGACGGCCTTGATTGCTTGTCTTGTCTGCCTTTCCTTCCGGATTCGTGGCAGCCGCCCACATCGGCGTGGGCATCAGTGGTCAGGAGGGCATCCAAGCTGTGCTGGCATCCGACTACTCCTTCTCCCAGTTCAAATTCCTCCAGCGCCTGCTCCTCGTTCACGGACGCTGGTCGTATCTCCGCATGTGTAAATTCCTCTGTTACTTCTTCTACAAGAACTTTGCCTTCACCATGGTGCATTTCTGGTTCGGCTTCTTCTGTGGCTTCTCAGCCCAGGTAATGGAGCCAGGCACCGGGTGTCGGCTGGGGAGGGGGGGGCTGGTGGATGGTGGGGGGGGCGGCCCAAACAACCCCCCACCCTAATTCATCCTTTCTTTCTCTCCACGCAAAGACCGTGTACGATCAGTACTTTATCACGCTGTACAACATTGTTTACACCTCGTTGCCCGTCCTCGCCATGGGGGTCTTTGATCAGGTCAGTCTGTGCCCTCCCCCCCCCCCCCCCCGTGGGAGAGCGGGGGAGGGGAGGGAGAAGAGGAAGGCAGCTGAGTGAGAAAGGAGAAGGAAGGATAAAAGAGAAAGGAGAAGGAAGGAAGGATAAAAGAGAAAGAAGGAAGGAAGGATAAGAGAGAAAGGAGAAGGAAGGATAAGAGAAAGGAGAAGGAAGGAAGGAGAAGAGAAAGGAGAAGGAAGGAAGGATAAGAGAGAAAGGAGAAGAAAGGAAGGAGAAGAGAGAAAGGAGAAGGAAGGAAGGATAAGAGAAAAGAGAAGGAAGGAA